GTGGACAGTCTGCTTCTCCCTCTGACCCCCTGCCCCCACTCCTGTGCACGTGCACTCCCTCACTCCCATGCGCTCACTCCGCTATAGAGACACAGAGAGCGGTCTACTGAAGCCCCGGGTACCTATCACCTTGATGCCACAACTCATGGCCAGTCCTGCTTTACATCTTCACCCCTACCTCTCCCCTCCTCCTATACTATCTTTGGTACAAATCCTAGACCTCACATCTTTATTTTTTAAAGATTTATTTTAGAGGATGGGGAGAGGGGCAGGGGAAGAGAATCTTCAAGCAGACTCCCTGCTGATCCTGGAGCCTGATGTGGGGCTCTATCTCATGACCCTGAGATCACAACCTGAGCTGAAAGCAAGAGTTAGACCCTCAACTGACTGAGCCACCCAGGTGCCCGTAGACCTCCTATCTTTAATCCATAATCATTCACCATATATCTTTAAGAGATGTCTCTAGAATATCCACATCAAAAAAATTAATAATTCCTTAAAACCATCAAATATTCAGTGTTCCTATTCCCTAGGACCCCTCACAAGGAAGGGTGCTCATGGTAGGCTCTGCAGTGAATGCTTCACAGAACGTGGATTCTAGGAAAGGTTTCTGCTTAGCTCACAGAGGCATGCTTTCAACACACCTCACCTGCAAGCAAGCCCCTCACACGGATCTGCTTGTGGCTGTAGGTCTGCCTCACTCCAGCCCTCCGGATCCTTTCAGGGAACGGGTCTCAGAAAGCAGATCTGCAAGTGCCAACCAGCTGCTAACTGTAATCTGGCTGCCGTCCAAAATATAAAACGAAGAAAACCTCTCAATCCTTTCAGAAACTAGAGGATGAGGTGTGCTCTATGCTCTTTGGCTCAGTTGGCAAAAATGAAGCAATTGTGGCCACATGAGAGACAGAAAACTGCCCCTGCCCTCGGGTTTACCACGGGACAAAGACATTATCTTAAGGCCCTACCCATGTAGCTTCACATGTGGCCCTGTGGCCTAAAATGACACTTGATCCTCCTACTTAAGAAGAAAAAAGGGGTGCCTGGGTGGCTCTGTAGGGGTTAAGGGTTTGGCTCTTGGTTTTGGTTCAGGTGATTATCTCAGGGTCGTGAGATCGAGCCCCATGTCGGGCTCCGCGCAGGGCATGGAACCTGTTTGGGATTCTCTCTCTGCCCCCTCCTCCCTAACACTGCCCTCCTCCACTCATACTCATTCTCTCTCTCAGAAACAAAAAGAGAGAGAGAGAAACAGACAGAATTACCATATAATCCAGCAAAATCCCTTCCAGGTGTAGACACAAAAAATTGAGCGCAGGGATTCAGCTACTTGCTTATCACTATCGCAGCAGCATTATCCACAGGAGTTAGAAGGTGGGAGCAATCCCAATGTCCACTGACAGAAGACTGGATGGGCAAGACATGGTATATCCACACATTGATATATATTATTCAGCGTTGATGTGTATTATTCAGGTTTAAAAAGGAACAAAATTTTGACACATGCCACAACATGGATGAACGCTGAAAACATTATACTAAGTCAAGTAGGCCAGATACAAAAGTACAACCAGTGTAGGATTCCACTTACGTGAGGTACCTAGAGTAGGCAAATTCATAGAAACAGGAAATAGAATGATGGTTGTCAGGGGCTGGGGGAGCTGGGGAGGGAAGGCTACAGTTTAATGGGATTAGAGTTTCAGTTTGGGAAGATAAAAAAGTACTGGAGGTGGACGGTGGTGATGGCCACATGACACAGTGAATGTACTTAATGCCACTAAGTGGTACATTTTTAAATGGTTAAAATAGGAAATGTGTTACGTATATTTTACCACAACCAAAAAAAAAAAAAATGAAAAAATATGTACCTATGCATACATACATATAGGGGTGTGTTGTTTTTTTTTTTTTTAAGGTGTGTTTCCTCCACAAGGACACAACACTTTAAAAAAAAGACAGATGAGAGGCACCTGGCTGGCTCAGTCACTGAAGCATGTGACTCTTGATCTTAGGGTTATGAGTTCAGGCCCCATGTTGGGGTGTAGAAAGGACTTAAAAATAAAATCTTTAAAAAAAAAAAAAAAGGCAGATGAAGGAAATGGCAATGACCAGCCACATTCCTAACTGTAGCAAACAGTCATTTTCTAGAAAACAGCATCGTGAAAGGAAACCGTTTCACAGTAACAATGGGGAAGCCCGACAGCCAGTGATAAGATGACTGCAAATAAGCATTTTATGCCTTGATGAGATTTGATCCACCTAACCAGTTTTGTGGACAAGAGGTTTTGTCGACAAGAGATTTATTTGGCCGTTTGAAGCTTTTTTTTTTTTTTTAAGATTTTATTTATTTATTTGTGAGAGAGAGAGAGAACAAGGCAGGGGAGGGACAGAGGGAGAGGGGAAGCAGACTTCCCACTGAGCAAGGACCAGTGCCCCCCCCCCCAGCCGCCCCCCACATGGGGCTCAACCCCAGGACCCTGAGATCACGAGCTGGGCAGAAGGCAGATGCTTAATCGACTGAGGAACCCAGATGCCCCAGCTGTTTGAAGCTTTTTGCCATGAAGGAAGCGTAACCTTGAAAAATCTGAGATTCCTTATTCTAACCATGACCTTTGGCTCAGAGCAGGCAGATTTAAAGCAAGCAGGGACGCGCCAACCTTCCAGGGAATGCACCTCCGAAGAGGGCCTCCAACAACGTCCCCAGGCCCTACACAGACAAAATTGCCTGGAAGCACCACCTCCATGCCCAATGGAACCTCAAACGGGATTGTTCCAGAACTATCAGGCTGTCTCCGCTGTTCTAAATCATGCTAAAAATACAGATTAAAAATACCCTGACTACTAAGACTGAGAACCGCACACAACACCACTGCCCTGGTGGGGAAATGCTATCTTCAAAGGCAATGTGTATGGGATATCCTGTTACATGACAAGCACTCTGAACCCTTCAGAAAGTCAGTGTTATTTAAAAAAAAAAAAAAAAAATTGCGGGCAGGGGCGGCTGGGTGGTACAGTTAGTTAAGTGTCCAACTCTTGGTTTCGGCTCAGGTGGTGATCTCAGGGTCATGAGACTGGCCCCTGCATCCGGCTGCTTGCTCAGTGTGGATCCTGCTTAAGACTCTCTCTTTCCCTCTCCCTCTGCCCCTCCCCACCTCCCTAAAAATAAATTAAAAAATCTTTAGGGGCAAAAAAATTTTTTTCAGGGAAATCATTCCAGATTACAAGAGTCTAAAGAAACAACAAATATGTGAAATTTTTTTTAAGATTTTATTTATTGAAAGACAGAGAGAGAATGAGAGGGAGAGAGAATCTGAAGCTGACACCGCACTGAGCCCAGCCCGGTGTGGGGCTCAATCGCACAACTGTGAGGTGGAGACCTGAGCCAAAACCAAGAGTCCGACGCTTAACCCACAGAGCTACTCAGATGCCCTCAGCATCATTCATCTGAGCACTCAGAGGAATCTTAATCTGATCCCGGTTTATAAAACCACAAAATCTATAAAAGATGATTTTAGGACAAGAGTGAAATGTTCATATAAACTGGATATTAGCTGGTATGAAACTGTTAATTTTTGTATGTGTGATCATGAATATTGTGGTTAGGCAAGAGGCTACCCTACTTTTAGGAGAGGCTTCCTGATGTACCGTCATGGTGCCCGCACTGATTTTCAAAGAATTCAACAACCCCCTGCCACACACACACACACAAAGAAGGGCTAAAGAAAACTGTTATGTTGGAATGGTTAGCATGGCAGATTCTAGCAGAGGAGATACAAGATGTTTTGTGTCTCTAAATGTCATCCCAGCTGTGGTTACAAAAATTAAGACACAAAATGCATTCCCTCCCTTCTCCATAAAAAAGGAAATCAACTGTATCTCACTATGCTCCTCTTTACCAGAAACCACACCGGGCTGAAATGCAACTGTTCTTTAAAAATTGTTCTTTAAAAAGCTGGTGGGGCATCTGGGTGGCTCAGTGGGTTAAGCCGCTGCCTCCAGCTCAGGTCATGATCTCAGGGTCCTGGGATCGAGCCGTGCAACGGGCTCTCTGCTCAGCAGGGAGCCTGCTTCCTTCTCTCTCTCTGCCTGCTTCTCTGTCTACTTGTGATCTCTCTCTCTCTCTCTCTGTCAAATAAATAAATAAAACCTTTAAAAAAAAAAAAGCTGGAGTGCTTGAAGTCAGGTGCCAACCATGACACCATAAAGCCTCAGCAAGCCTTCAACCCACCATAACGTTCTGAACAGAACAGTGCCCCGTAGCAGCCTTGGTGATCATAAACAGGATGTCTCAGCAAGGAAGTGTGTGGGGGTCCCAAGAGCTCCCTCCCCACCCGAACAGCTGAAGCAGCAGGAGCATGACCAAAGCAGAAAGGAATCAGCAGCCACATGACCCAGGCTCTGGTCCACTCCCAACACTGACAGTGGAGATCTGGGGTAGGCACCCCCACCTCCAGTGGATTGGGCCTCTGATTCCTCAACTGAAAAGTGGGAAAAAATAATCCTCTCCTCAACCCAGGGTTATTGCACTAAAATCACAATGCTACAAACTCCTCGCTCTCCATCAGGTTAAAGCTGCAGTGTTTCTCAGATAATCTCAGAGTCTAGATTCGTGCAGCAGCAATGCTGGTCACAAACAAATGGATCCTGGGGCACCTGGGTGGCTCAGTCATTAAGCATATGCCTTCAGCTCGGGTCATGATCCCAGGGTCCTGGGATCAAGCCCCACATTTGGCTCTCTGCTCAGCAGGAAGCTTGCTTCTCCCTCTCCCACTCCCCCTGCTGTGTTCCCTCTCTCAGTGTCTCCCTCTGTCAAATAAATAAATAAAATCTTAAAAAATAAACAAAACAAAAAAACCTTGAGGTAAAAAACAGCTGATAAAGGAGGCCTGGGGTCTCAAAGATCAGGCCTATTTTCGCTCTGGATGCTAAGAATCTTCCCCCTGAAGCCACATAACCATGTCTAAGACCAAAGGACAAGGCTCAAACCCAACAAGACCAGTACTTACCTCGGCCATAGGCCCTGGCTTTCTTCGGGTTGAGTTTGGGTTTAAGAGGAGCCCCGGGCTTGAGCTTGGCTTTGGGGAACTGGGACAGGTAAGTCATCACCGAGTGCTCATCCACATCTGGATGAATAATTTCTTCAGGAGTGATGACCTAGAATAAAGCGTGGTAGGTCAACGCCCAGAACAACTCACTGGTAACGGTCAAGGATTTGCAAATGTGTCTTAGGCCAACCACTACAAATTGAAGACACTGAGTCAAGCTCTAAATTAAGTGAAATTACATTAAAACCACGTGCTAATGTAGTGTTTTTAACCTTTTAGAGGTGTCACTCTTCCTTTTGGAAGCTGAAGACCCCCTCCAGACAATTCTACATGTAATTTCCAGAGATGCACACCCTTCCCTGGCAAAAAAACTCACTCATCCCCCAGAGAAACTTTCCAAAAGGGGTAAGCTATATCAGATGAGAAGAAACAAATACACATCAGATTGGAGCATATCACCAAAAAGCACATAAATTATCCTTTTCCCTTGTTCATCTTTTCATTGCCTCCATCTCTATTAACTCTGTTACTAATAAAAAAATAGTCATAAAAACAAAGAGACAACCCGGCAACATATTAAACTTGCAGTCTTGTTACGGACTTGGATGTTTGTATCTTCCCAAAGCTCTTTTTTTTTTTTTTTTTTTTTAAAGCTTTTATTTCTTTGACAGAGACAGATCACAAGTAGGCAGAGAGGCAGGCAGAGAGAGGAGGAAGCAGGCTCCCTGCTGAGCAGAGAGCCTGATGTGGGACTTGATCACAGGACCCTGAGACCATGACCTGAGCTGAAAGCAGAGGCTTTAACCCCCTGAACCACCCAGATGCCCCCTCCCAAAGCTCTTATGCTGAAGCCCTAACCGCCAGGATGATGGGATTAGCACGCTCGGCCTTTGGGAGGTGAGTAGGTTAAGATGAGGTCAGGAGGATGGAGCCCCCATGATGGGATTAGTGCCCTCATGAGAAGGGGAGGAAAGAGGAGACCTCTGTGTCTATGCCCTGTGAGGACACAGCAAGAAGCCAGAGGTCTTCGAGTCACCAAGAGGGCCCTCCTCACCAAACACTGAATCTGCTTGCACCCTGCTCTTCGCCTTCCAGCTTCCAGGTACGAGAAATAAGCCCCTGCTGTTTACACCATCCAGTCTACCGTATTTTGTCAAACAGCAGCCTGAGCTGACTAAAATGGGTTTCAGGACATTATGAGCTGTCCAAAGAAATAGGGAGGAATGAATTTCTCCTAAATGTAGCCTAGGAGCAAGATTATGCTCATGCTGGACAGGTGGCCCCCCCAGAGGCATCACAGCCTCAGGTCCACCACCTGACCCAGCCCTAAACAGTCACCAAAACATCCCTCTGCCCCCAACTAGGGTGCTGAGGAGCTAAGGCGCTACCCCTCAGACCCAAAAGAAGGCCCTGTCTCATGAACCAGGTTAACCAAATGCAGAGGAACAACTTCTATACCCTGCTTCCCTCACCCCACAGGAAAACAGAACAAAACAAACTGCCAGAGAACATTCTGACAGCCTTCAGCAACAAAACAGCTACTTGGGTTTGAACAGTTGCCTTCACCCATTCCATGAAATGTAGGATGTGCGTTGATTTGGTATTTGTTCCAGGAAGCTCCTTCAACAACTGTAAAGTGCCAACATCACACGAACGTCAAAAGGAGATGGTTTTAGGTTTAAGAGGAGATGAAAAACATACCACACCACTTACTAAGGATGGAAGAGCTAAGAAATGGGCCACGAAGCGGAGACATGATGTCAAAACCAAACCAAAGAAATACAGGAAAGTTTTTCTCCCTCCCGAGGGATCCTATTACAAAAGATATGGAACTCAGCTCTGAACACCAACTTAGACCATCATGGGACCTGGGGTGAGGTCATCCATCCATGGCACTGGCTCCCTACAACTGCTCTTGACCAGGGCTTCAAACATGGGCGTCTCGGGGAGTTTTTTAGCTTCCTTGGAAAACCCTGGAAGACAGCACCTCAATTACACAATGTGGCTACTGCTGAAGGTATCCAAGAGTTGCTCAATCTCCAAGTTCTCCTGTTATGTTCCTGTGATAGGATTATGAGCAATACAAATTTTTCCACAATTTCCAATAATGGTAGGTTATCCCGGTTTAAATTTTTTTCAAAGTTCTAAGTCCTGTGACTTCCCCTAAGATATCAGATTTTAAAAAAGACTTTTGAAATATGTAAAAAGTGGTCAAATATTGGCTATTCCTTACAGTACAACCCAATCATTAAAGTCTACATTTGCAGTCTGGTGTCCCAAGATAGTCTTTAAGATCTTTGGAGCAAAATTACTATAAAATTTGCCACATGTTACAAAGAGCGATGTGAAGATTTTTGAACAATCTACAAGCACCCAAGTCAACGAGAACCTATTATTATGGGTAATCTAAGGAAGACGGGAGCGTGCCAGAGGCAGTACTCTTGGAAGGCTCATGCTGAGGAGGTCAGACTGCCTGCCAGACCCAAACAGGCATCCACAGAGTGCCAGAACAAGCTGGAGGGTGGAAACAGCCTCCGGGCATATGGCGCTGCTTGTATGCCTACCTGTGGGACCCCCAGCCAGTCGTCTGCTTGCTGCATAGCTTCCCGCGCATTATCCACAGGCTTTCGTGGATCCCACGATTCCCAGTCTGGGCACAGACCTGTTAACGTAACACAAAAGATTCCGTTAATATTAGCTGACAGAAGAGATTAAAGGAAGCCCGTGCTTAAATTAAACCCCTTTGGTATCTTAATTCAGAGAACAATTTCTTCCAAAAATCACAGTCAATTAGATACTTGAAGGGCAAAAAATATCACAGATAGGAGTACGCCAAACTATTCTGAGACTAAACTGAGACTTCTCTCTCAGGCCGTTGTTTTCTTGCATTAACAGAGAGATTATCCATTCCTTGAAGGTGTGGTAGATATAAATCAAGTCTGTAAAACTCCTTGGGCCTGGTGCCTTTTTGCAGGAAAATTTTTTTTTCCTCCTACCACCTTCAAACTTCTGTACTCTGGTCACTAAATGTGTAGGATTCACACCAGCTGGATAACCTACAACTAACTCAAATCTGACATTATCTACATGGAGATAGAGTCAGATCCTGCAGGTGAAGGGCTCAGGTCCATAAGACAGCCCCCCTCCTTCCTCCACTTCGGCGATCAACTGCAAGTCCAGCTTACCACTGGGCTTCTAACAGACCAGCTATAAACTGGAGGTTCCCACAACTCTTCCTCAACTCACTTACTAGAGTGGCTCACGGAACTCAGGAAAACAGTTTAAGCGCTAGATTACCCATTTATTATAAAAGCATACAGCTCAAGGCCAACCAGATGAAAGAAATGCACATGGCAAGGTATGGGAGAAGGGGTATGGAGCACCTATCCCCTCTCAGCGTGTACCACTCTCCTCGCACCTCCATGTGTTTACTGACCCAAAAGCTCCCCAAAATTTGTAGCTGGAGAAATTTTATGGAGGCTTCATTAGTGAAATAGGCAAGGATTGATTAAATCACTGGCCATTTGTGGTTAACTCAACCTCCAGCCCGTCCCTTCCGTGGAGGTCAAGAGATGGGACCAAAAGCTCTAACCCTCTTATCACATGGTTGGTTCTCCTGGCCCTACCCCATGCTTAGGGGCTGTCCAAAAGTCATCTCATTAACACAAACTCAGGTGTGGTTGAAAGGAATCATTATCATGGCTCTTATCACTTAAGAAATTCCAAGGGTTTTTGGAGCTGTGTGCCGAGAGAGGGACAAAGACCCCAATATCTATTTCTTATTCTAAGTCACGGTATCACAATCTGGTTCCTAGATACATCTAAAAAGACTACCTAGCATCCGTATAATTCAAAAATCCACACACCCAAAAGCCCAAACCTAGAATCATCTGAAAAACCTTTGTAATAAGCACAAAAAGTGTAGGACTGAAGTAAACATGCACCGGTTCAAACTGGTGAAGAGGTATCTTAAAATGTGTCCATAGGTGGAAGCAACAAAGAAGGTGCCACGAAACTAAGGCTGAGCTCTTGACTTCATTCTGGATAACACCAGCTGAGCACCTCTAGAGGAAGAGTGAGGCCTGGGGTCCGTCCTCCTTCCCTATCCAATACAGACCAGCCAGCTCTGTTCACAGCATGGTAAGAACCATTAGCTTACTAAAAATGAATGTGAACAGCATATATATGGAGTTTTCATAAACGGAAAATATGATTATTAGAGTAAATTTTTTATTAGAAACAATTCTGGTGGTGCATATAAACATGGGCTGGTTATTCTCTTGACTCTGTACCAGCAAACTCTACCCATCAACCTAAATGCTCCAGGGAGGATAACTACTGCGTTGGTGTGCGCTCAACCACTCAGAAAAGGGTGGGAAAACCTCCAACTGGATGCCGACCAAACACTATTTCATAGCAATGCAGAAAGAAAAGGGTGGAGAGAAAGCCATACATGGTCAACCCAGCAGTCGGTAAAAATGGGTACTTTCCACTCAATGGAAGTTTTTGGATTTTCGTGCCAAGTCAACTAACAGGGCCACGTGCTTCTGCTAAAGTCAATGGGAAACCCGGCACCAACTGTGGGAAGAAGAAGGACTTTGGATCTGAAAGCTAAACCAAGGCCCGCTCCAAGAACTTCATTGGGAATTTGGGTAAATAACTGAGCTCAGTGTTCAGAAAGTCCATGGATACACCTAGAAGATAAACAGAGCCATTTTTAGTTCCCTTTGCTCTTACAATGGGCTAAAACTAGAATACCCCAATCCCAGCAAACCCAGCTTTCCCAATGGAAAGCCAAGAGGCTTGAGGCCCACAAACCCCCATCCTGAAGAGATGGCTTAGGCAGCCTCAGACACTTACCCGGAGCACAGCTGTCCACTAAGGCCCCCAGAGCCTTGCCATCCTGCCAGTTCTGGTTAAAGTTGGTGATGGGCAAGTAGGGGATCTTGTTCTGAATCCACCCCAGCAGCCTCTGCTTTGGTGTCTGCTTCTTGGCATCATCATCCCCTTCATCCTCCCACACGGGCATGGAAATAGAGTAGTGGAGGATCAGTGTCCACACCAGGCCCAAGATGAGCTTCAGGTTCCCATCCACGATGGCTTTGCTATCTGGGGAGGGAGGCACAGGCTTGAGATGGCACATTCCTCTGGGCTGTCAAGGAAATTCTCATCTGTTAGAGAACCACACACAACCATTTCACAATGAAAGGATGTAGAGTTAGGGGCGCCTGGGTGGCTCAGTGGGTTAAGCCTCTACCTTCAGCTCAGGTCATGGTCTCAGGGTCCTGGGATCGAGCCCCGCATCGGGCTCTCTGCTCAGCAGGGAGCCTGCTTCCCCCCTCTCTCTCTCTGCCTGCCTCTCTGCCTACTTGTGATCTCTGTGTCAAATAAATAAATAAAATCTTAAAAAAGAAAAAGGAAGGTTGTAATGTTAGAATTTGCTTCAGAATACTTGAGGATGGGACTAGATAAAGTGAGATTCCAAAATGTTTACAAGTGTCACTGGATCACGTGTACATGAAAACACATTACACTTTCCTCTCTCTGCCAAACCCAGGCCCCTTTTAGGGATCTTCTAGGAATCTCAGTGCTGCTGGTTTCTACCTTCTACTCCCTTGGCTTCTCTGTGGCCCTCTATCCTCTGTCCTCTTTCCAACCTCTACCTACATGCATCAAAACCCAAACATTATCAACAAAATCTCCTCTCTCATTCTCTCCTCCTCTACCATCCCCCAACTTCCCCTATCTATCCCATCTCTCTCTTCATCTGCCTCTCCCCACACTTCCCTTCCTATCTACTCCATCTCTCCCCTCTACCTCCTCCCACACACCTCCCCTCCTAAGCATTCACCCACCCCCCCCAACTTCCTTCACCCTTTCCCCACCAAACTCCCCTGCTGCAATCCCCCATTCTACCAGGACCCCAAACTGAAAACGTTAGAGCCATCTTGGACTTCTCCTTTAAATCCCAGGTTGTTGTTTCTACAACACATCAATTCCCTCTCTACCTACACCTCTTGGCAAATCCTTTTCTCCACCTTCCTAATAAATATGGGCTCCTCTCCACCCTGATTCCTCAACAGCCATGAAGCTGAACCCTGTTTGCATAACCTTAGAGTATCTTTCTGCTCATGAGACATGTGGGTGGCTCAGTCGTTGAGCATCCACCTTCATCTCAGGCCATGATCCCAGAGTCCTGGGACTGACTCCCACATGGTGCTCCTTGCTCAGTGGGGAGCCTGCTTCTTCCTATTCCTCCCCCTACTTGTGCTCTCTCCACCACCAGCCCCCTGACAAATAAAGAAATTTAAAAAAAAGAAGAAGAACAACTATCTTTCTGGTCAGGTACCTCTGTGCTTCCAAATTCACCAATGGTCCCAACTGCTCACAGTTGAACACATCCTTACACATACAGCACCCTCGGAACCCCCAAAGCCAGCTTGCTTTTTCACCCTTGTCACCCCCGCCCACCACAGTTCACACTGCAGACACACAGACCCCTCACTCTTGGACCACATCCTGCTTTGAACCCCTCGGATCTCTCCATGTGTTCTATATTCCCTTTGATGAAAAGACCCTTCAACCACGCCCTCCTCTGGGACAACCCTGGGCTCCTCATTCAAGGGCCAGATCCAACAGTGGGTGGTGCTTTGCTCCCATCAGCATGTGGGTGACTGTGCCAGGGCCCTCTCAAGATGAAAACCAAGCCTCCGAGCCCCCATTCCAGACTACGAGCCCCTGCTGGGGAGTAACTGAGCCTCTGTCATCTTGGAGCTAGCTCCAAGATGGTGTCCCATCCACCCATCCACCACAAACTACCTGCATGTCGGTCACATACACACCGGATTGCACTTCATGAAACCCAGCTACGACCACATGAGAAATACACACCTGCTCATAAGGAGTAAACGGCTCGCCACTTAAAACCTGGAGGCTTTCTTTTTTTTTTTTTTTTTTAAATTAACCTGTTTATTATTAGTCCTCTTACAACAAACGAACCTCATAACAGGGCACACCCAAACCCACAAAAACCAAAGGTAGCTTTATGGTTGCAGATTTAATCATAATAAAACTTGATCCTGTAAAATTGTGCAGAGTAAAGATTATCATGAACTGGCTGGTAAGACCGTCTAGAATTTTTTTTAATATTTTTATTTTTATTTTTTCGTCAGAGAGAGAGAGGAGCAGGCAGAGGGAGAAGCAGGCTCCCTGCTGAGCAAGGAGCCCGCTGCAGGATTTGATCTCAGGATGCTGGGATCATGGCCCAAGCCCAAGGCAGACATGCTGAGCCACCCAAGTGTCCCAAGACAATCTAAATTTGAGCAATCCTCACTCAAAGTTAAGGCTCCCAGAGATTTTCTATGTAATGAATTATATAAATAATAACTTTGAAGCAGGACAGTCCATGTAATTCAAGGGGCCCAGCAACAAATGAAAATACAAGACTCCTTGTCCAAAAGTATTACGAATTTCAGGATGGCAGCAGCAGAAGATTAAAGCAAGTACAAAAGCCTTCTCAGAGCAAGGCCCCATTCTGGATGGCCGTGAAGCGCCCTCTGCCTCTGAGGTCCTGTGGTCAATAAGGTAGCAATGAGATGCACAAAACGCTTGACCATGAACAGAATTTGGACATCCAAGGAATGCATCCCACCTTACTGTCCATATGTTCCTCCAGGTGACAGCCCTCGACCATGACGGAATTTTTCTGATTAGATGTCCTGTTATAAGGTTGTCTTTGAAGTGCTGCTGATTACTGAGTTACTACCTACCAACTTTAAGAAATTCCAGGTCAAACAATTTTCCATGCCAGCTGCAACTACTGGGAGAAGAACAGTCCTCAGAAGGGTGGGGGGCAGGGGCAGGAAGGACACCAAGTGTGTGCACGCTTATCGTTAGGGTACCGGTGGTGGACCACGTAGGGTCTGTCCTTGCACCAGGCAGGATCGGAAGGGGCCTACAAGTGTCACCCAGCCACAAGCATCAGACAGCAAAGTTCAGCTTTCCTGAGTTATGTGTTAAATGCTTTTCAAATGCAAACTTGCAGATCTGATCCATAAATCAAAACACGAAACCAGCTTGCTCTATTTTTACCCAGCTTATATTACACGTGTTGGTCTAAAGGAATGAGACAGAAGTCTTTTTGGGGGGAAATATGACCCAGTAAAAGTCTGAGCCAAATGTATGAAAAATACAATGCCCAGAACTTCTGTTTCCAATGAATTCAAGGTGGGTGTCCAAACGGGAAAGCCCCCATTAAGGTCTCATTGGGATAAATGATACTTTTGTTCTGCTAGTCTAAGAAGCTGGAGAAAGAACAGTCCTCGCTCCAAAAGTGATTTTGACAGGTGAAGGTTCAAATGCTTTACAGAACTCTTGGAACAATAAAAAGATGGCAGCTTGCCCAAAAGGTCTCCCCCTTTCCCACCCACATGAAACAGGAGACTCCCAGCGCCTTGAAAATGAAATGCTACAGAGCATCCCAGGGTCGACGTCGGACCATCACAGCCGACGACGGGTTTTTCAAATGCGTGCGCTCTGTGATGTTTATGTCGGGTATAAACATGGAACAGAAATGTAAAAGGAAGAAAGGCCAGGTCAGCTGGAAGCCTCCCTGGAAGGATTCCACCTCATTGACAGACTCTTTCTGGAATAAAATAATAAGCCAACGCCCGCCACGCCTGCAAGACCTCCTAGAATCGACTTAGATTGCCGGTGGGTTGGAATCTGGCCACAGGTTTCTCCTCCCCAGATCCAACCAATCCCAATTCCCATGGAACTGGGCCTGGCTCTGGACAGCATGACCCTCAAACCACACACCCCCTCTGGAACTACTTAAAATTACCCAGCATTGCTTCCAAGGGAGAGCCGTGGCTTTTTTTCTTTTTCTTTTTAATAGCTAGTAAGTTAATTTGAGCTACGGCAAGTTCCAGGACAGAATGTTTTCGCGTACCTTCTCTACACCGGTTACCCAGTCCTCCCTGAACAGCAATTGGGAATGGGTAACATTTACGGGGGAGGAAACCAGCTATTTTTAGGCGTCTTTGGAAGCATTGTGGAAACATCTACTGTGTAGACAAGATCCTCCCAGGAAGGGCGATGGTGATCTTTCCCTCTCTCCTATCAAGAGGGCAGTGTCCACACAACTACCTGCGTGCCCGCCACAGTCCCCACGCTGACCTCCCCTCCTATTACTGAGGGCAGCGTGGTGGGAGGCCAGAAGATGCCTGAGCAAACACCATCCCACAGTTTTGCCTTCCTGAGTCAGAACAACAGGTCCTCCATTAGCCACAACAGAACAGCTCACTGCTAGGTGAGTAAGAGCCCACAAGGGGCTACAGGTTGAAGGATACGAACTTTCAGAAAAACTCCTTCGCATATGCTTGGGGAAGAGCACGCGGGCCATGCTGCAACTATGATTGGGCCATCCGGAGAGGGATTTGCCACACTCGCTGCTCCCCACCCTCTCAGCTCTGTTATGCTCGGAGAGGCTGTGGGGCATGACAGCTGGAACCAGCCGCTCAACTAGACATGTCACTCTGAACAACCCATCCATCCTCGCTGGGCTACAGAACACCGAGAGTTGAGCACAAGGCCAGGTACAGGGCGGGTGCTGAACAGTACCTCCCTCCCCTTCCTTACTCCTTCACCTCATACCTGAGTACCTGCTGCGTGCCCAACACACTTCCACAGAGCCGGAAGCCCAGAAGCTAAATCCCAGGTTTGCAGGCAAGCAGGAAATGAAAGGAGAGATAGTACTTTGTGAATTAAGAGGAGGATGAGGTGTTCCATGTGTCACTTCTCTGGGTCAAGCAATTCATTACAAGGGTCGTGAGTCTCTGAGGTCCCTGATCTCCTGTTCTGGGAGGAGGCTGACCCACACACTGCGGTGAACCCAGGACATGTGAGGTAAGTGTCAGGGGTCCCTTCTTGGGCTGAGTGCTTTAGGGAGACCCACACGGCCTGAGATCCCCAGACAGAAACCAAGAACCACCAAGGAACCCAACTATGGATCATTTATCAGACCTCCCTGAAAGAGAACACCTTACAGATAGCAGCCCACAAGAGCCCGGGGTCTGGCCCCTTCTTGACTTCCCAATGTCACACTGCCCCAGGGGTTAACCTTGGGTTAACCTTGATCTCCCGCCTCCGCGAGGGCTTACTCTGGGACTCCTTCCCCACCTCTGCTGACCGGGTTAATGCCTCTTCTACATCCAACTCTGCAACCCTGGAATAGGTCCCTGGCTCAACATGCCCTCCTCTTCCAGGGGAATGGCTGCATCGGCCTCCCCTGCTCAAAGCACCAGCTCTGCAAAGGCGGGAACAGGCTCTTCTGCTCCCCGAAGCATGGACACTTGGCTGTTTGGGGGACAGGCTGCCACATGCACAGCCCTCCCCCCTGGGTGCTCACTAAGACACAGCTGTTCTCCCTGAGTGGATGCAGAAGTCCACATACAGTCTTTCAGACGGAATGCTAACCTGCTCCTGATGGTAACCACCTCCATACCCCCAGCAGGCAACAGAGCATGTAGCACAGGAAGACAGCTGGGCGGGGGAGGGGAGAGGGTGTGTGAGCACCACTACATTGGCCATAGAGCCGTGGCCAAGTGATCCGATCCCAGAGTGCCTCAGTGACCTTCCCTGGAAGCTGGGGACAATGCTGGAGCAGGAGTACAGAGGGGCTGGGAAGCCCACACATGGGGTCATACCTCTCCAGCACTCAGAACCCCCCCCTCAGCTGGCACTGAATGCTGCTATTATTACTATTATTCTTACACCCCTGACTTCAACATGCTTTTATCAACCTTGATCCAAAAAGAACAAAGGCCGAAGGAAAAAGTGAAAGCTTAGCCGTTTTAAGGTGGTGACTTCCACGTCTGCCCTGGGGTTTCCTGTCAGCCCTGACAGCTTGGGTGAGCCAACCACAGCGGCATCCTGTGCGGGACTGCCCCACGGTAACCCCACACGGCAGCGCTCACATCACCTGGGCCCAGGAGCCAGGTGGCGGAACTGGGGCTCACGGGCCTCCCGGGTTGGCTTTACGGTTTCTCCCCATCCTTCATTCCTCCCCAGCCTCAACCAACTGTGGCTGAATTGTTGGCCTCAGTTGTGCAAACAAGAGGACACCTTCAACTGAAAGAAGGCAGTTCACCACGGTCCTCAGTTTCTCAGCTGCCACCTGTTCCTGAGGCCATGGTGAGGAGAGCCATCTCAATCAGCTGTCCAGCGCTGGGGTGCATTTCTGGGAGCCCGACAGTCCTTCCATCCGTACAGTGGTGGCAGACTGCACATACCTCGGCTGGGCTATGTACCTGCCCAGACGGCTCTGGGCAGGATGAAGGGGCCAGGCCAGCATCTCTCCTGCTCAGGGTTTCATCTACAGCCTGAACCCATCCAAAGACAAGACAGACTTACAACAAGGTGGCTCATACTGCCGATGGCTGAGGGGTTCTGCGGTGAAGGCCACCAAAACCCTACTGCCCCTTTTCCCAGGCATGCAGCTGCCAGCTGGATGTCCCTTCCCAGCCTCCCTTGCAGCTCAGCGGCACGCTGCTCTGCCAATGGACGGTGAGCAGAGGGAAGCGTGCTAACGCTCTACAGCCCTGGGCTGGGGTGCCTCCTCCAAGCACTCCCTCCTATGGCCAGCCAGAGCCTCTGATCTGACGGTCACTTAGATCTGACCTGCCCTCAGGGAAGCCAGCCAAGGTGATAGAAGGAAACTGGGTCCCAGATTAGGGTGTCCTGACAACTGGAAGACTGAAAAAAGTCGCCGTATTTGGGGTTTGTCGTTGTTGTTGTTTTTCAATCTCTTTGTTACAGCTGTTTAACTATAACAAGAGGATGTTCTGGGCCCTGAGGCCCTGAAGTCACAGACCACAGTGACATAAGTGTGGATTGGGGTACTTGGGTCAGCTGCATTTCCGATCCTTCTTCTAACTCAGCAACTCTCAAAGATGACAAAGGAGCTGAGTTAACAGCTTTCACACGTCACTATGTCAGGGTTCAGTTAATAAAGAGCCCATGTGGAAGACCTTTTTAAGTTAATTTTTCAAGAGATGATACCATAGACCAGGGGTGGCAAATGGTATCGGCATGTGAAGTGAAGACCCTCTCAGTGTACTCAGAATCAGAAAGATTCTGAGGCCCTATATGGGGTCAGCAGGAGAGAAAATCGATTACCGATCTCTGTCCTGAACAGGCACAGGGAATGGAGGCTCAGGGAGGCAGAATTGTGCAGATTAGCCATGCCTGACCTGGGCACGGCATGGGGAGTAGTGGCTGGGTCTCTACAACAGAACTGAGTAAACACTGCCAGATCCCTGATTTGAGATTTCTACTATAAGCCCATAACACATTCCTTATGCATAACCTCAGGCTTCAAATTTCCTACTTTGCCAACTATTCCTTCTGTTTTCTCTCACTAGACAACTTTTGCCTGGAATAATTGGAACAAATTATTTGATAATTAAATTTGATAATTAAATACCTTACTTTTATTTTGGTGAAGAGTTTTTGGTGGACACTCAGATCACAGATACTATGACAGTGTCTTGCTTCCTAATTTATTCCAACCCCCAGATTTTCTGGTTAAGATGCATCCTTTATTTAAAATGTGCAATTGCATCCCTGAGTGGGCTTCCAAATGCCACTTTTGAAAAGTGCTTACCGCTTCTGGGAATTACTTTCTATCCAGGGACAAAGTCACACAGGACTAAAATGAGATAGGTATATGAATGGGCCTAGAACTTAGTAAGTCCCTTCCAACTAGTATGACTGGGACAGCCTTAAAAAGTTAGGACAAGGATTCTAGCCTTGTTATAAGGATTAAAGAAAGAAGGAAAAAAGATAAGACACTCCAAAATGGTCAAAGCAATGTATGCCACACTAGGTTTTTGATCTTGAAGCCACAGGCCTCCTAAGTGAATGGTAGGATGAGGGCCCCAGGGACCCCTGAGCCTGGGCAGGGAGTGGAAGAGCCTGGAGTCCAGCCTCTGGGAGGCACCAGGAAACCCCAGTGTGAGCTCCAAAGTTCTCAGCATGGAGGTGTCTGTCTCTCGCTCCTCGCTTCCAGCCACCACAACTCTGAGAACATGGCCAGCTGAAGTAATAAACGCGGGCTGTGAATGGAGGTATGGGCTCTGACTCCAGCTCAGGCTCACCTGAAACAGTCCTCCAGCTCAGTCTGTCGTGTGGCAAGACCCCCTCACTGGAAACAGAGCTCACGGCCTACCCTGTGCATAGGAGCGCAGCCCACAGGGGAACCCTTGGAGAAAGAGTGTGACTGCAGGAGGAACCACGCCAGGAAAGATGGCTAAGCCCCTCCCCTCTTAACATCAAGAACAACCATATGGTGACAGCAGCTCCCTCTCTTCCAGACCTGGCCCCTGGGCCCAGCCCTGTGCCACATGCATCACCTTCCATGACCCTCCTTGTGACTCCACCAGGGCTTCTTTATGGTTCATCTCATCTTACACATGAGAAGACAGAGGGCCACAGAGGCACTGGCCAAAAGTAACACAGAGGAAGAACCTACATTTAAACCCAGTTCTCTCTGTTGCACGAGCCCAAACCTCCCTAATTCCCTGAATGCACACTGACAGCTCCATTTGGTGAGTGGAACAGGACACACATTTCACTGATGAGGAGGAGACACACCCTTGGGACCCAATGCCGGTGAGCTGTGGACTTTGGAGGGGAACCCAGGCAGGGCCTCTGACCCCGTAACTGCCCCAGTCATTCCCACAGTCCCAAACTGTCAAGATTCTTGCAGAAAAATGTGGACAGACAGCACAGAAGGTGACAGCACCAGGCCTGGGTGGTGCAAGCAGAAGTCAGACATGGATTATTTCAGTCCCCGTGTCTCAGGCATGACTCAGCCTCTACTACACCCTAGGAACTGGGGATTCCAATGTCCCAGCATCTGGGAGGTCCGCCACACAGGCCCTCCTGCTCAGCATGGGAAGCTGGGGAGGATG